CTAGAAAACCTTGCCAATAATAAGCATTAAATATCTACACTCTTCTCCAAGAGCACATAAAGTGTCCTCATTTATTCTAACGTTAATAACTTTAGTTTTTGCTTTATTAACCACAAAACAAAGACATTTTCTGACATACACAAAGACAGAAGGGCAGACCGTCAACTTCTCAGTCTAATGGAGGAATTTCAAAAACCTGTCTTGAAAATTTATACATCAAGCAGACAAAAGAAATCATGAGAAGGACATAGAAGATTTGAATAAACGCATCAAATCTGACATAGGCATTAATGAAAAGTAAATAACACATATTATTTTCAAGTATATGTGGGACGTTTATAAAAATTGACCATGTGGTCTGCAAATATGGAGCTGGTAAGCCTCATCATCTTGTTACTGCGTTTACAAAAAACCACACTTGTTCCACTAAATACACCCCCCAGACAACTGCTAACATAAACAGATGTTTCGTTTGTTAAGTACATTTCAGCTCTTAAGTACATACATGACAGTAACTGTTGTGATTTGAGTATTGATTTATGTTAATTATATAGTTATTGACATTTAGATTATAATTTGTGTAAATTGTGACTGTCATCATTTGATCTGTACATTTTGTGATTTTTGTAGCTATTACATTTGAACTCCTAAGTGATCTCTGGTTAAATAGTGTGTGCATGGAAGTAAAGTCTTAGAGTTCTATGTTTAGTAAACTTACAGGACCCTCAATCCTACATTAGCACGCAATGCTTTAAAAATAATCTTTTATTTGATATGAAGAAAAAGAAATATTATTTCTAATTCTCCTCTTCCTTCTATGAAGGGTGGATCCAGATAACTAGAGGGTTTTTGACTTGCTAAGCACAAAGTGATAGCCTTGGTAGAATGACCTTGCACTTACTGAAGGTTAAATTACTCTGAATAAGAAATGTCCTGAGCCCAGGGGAGATACCCAGGAGCTAAAGGTGGTTACCGAGCTGGAGAGCTTAAAAGGCTCCTCATGGAAAAGATCAAAGGAAAATAAAAATTGCCAAAGTCCAAGGCAAAACGAGAACATCTCGTGCCAAAATCAAAGTGTGGCAAGGCTGAACTAAACCAGAATAACCCACTCCCCTGCATTTTTGGACTATGTAAAAGCCAGGAGGGCAGGAGGCTGAGGTTTTGATGACCCTGTAGAGATGGGAGATAAGACTGTAAGCCTGTATGAAGCATGGAACTGGACCTGAGTATCTTACATAAAGTCTTGTTGTTAACATTGATGTCAAGTAGTAGAATATAAAGTCCTTATATAAGGGTTGTCTTTGAATGAGGATTAAAAATATTGCCACCCACTGAATTCAAAAGGAGCAAAAAATCTAGCTGCCTGCCTGGGCCACAGGTGGGGAAAAACAATGATCCTTGAGAAACCTGAGCCCCTGCTACACCCAAATTCACATTATATGACAAAGAGGCACCAAGCTTATAAACTGACATAAAACTGTTCTAGAATTGATGAAACTGCCTGTGAAAGTGTTTCCAAAACTTAGGACTTCCACAAAGGGAAAAAAAAAAATCTTTTGCTGAAGATGAAACTACAATCAAAAACTATAAACTGCATGGGAAAATGGACCACTATGAGAGAGAATCAGCAAAAACAGTAATAGTAAGATGTTGCACTCCAAGAACAAGACATAATAGAATCAAATGGAAGACAAGAACAGGAAAATCTGAAAAAGAATGAAATAAAAATATTAGAAATAAAAAATAATCAACAGATGGATTAAACAATAAACTAGATACAGCTGAAGAGAGAACTAGTGAATTGGAAGAAAAGCAGATTGGAGCATATTACCCAGGATGAAGAAGAGAGCTAAACAGAAAATACTCAAGAAAAATGAATAGATGTGTATGGTAAAATGTCAAACTTCCCGCATAGCTAAAAGGGACCCAAGTAAATAGAATAGGAGAAAGGCAATATTCAAATAGGTAATAACACTTTTCCAGGGTATGAGTACTCACACTGAATATGCAAAATAAGTCCTGAGCAGGACAAGAGTAATACTGCACAGCCCCTCAAAGACAAAGAGGCTTTTTCCTACCTAAAGCTACCAGAGATAAGATATATTTTCTAAAGGATTGCCTAATACACTAAAAGAGACTTCTCAACAAAGGCCCAAATAAAATGAAATAATTATTCAAACTATTGAAAACGTGCAACCAAGAATTCTTCATCAACTAACAAAATCTGATTCACAAGTAAGCACAAAATAAAGACATTTTCTAACACACACAAAGACAGAAGGGTGGACTGTCAACTTCTCAGTCTAATGGAGGAATTTTAAATACCTTGAAAAATTGATACATGAAGTAGACAAAAGAAATTATCAGTAAGAATATAGAAGATTTGAATAAATGCATCAAGCCTGACATAGGCATTAATGAAAAATAATATTCTTTTCAAGTTCATGTGGGACATTTACAAAAATTGACATGTACTAGAACACAAAGAATATTGCCACAAATTTCAAAGAATCAGTATCATACCACTCACATTTTTTACTTATAATGAACTGTAAAATCCATAGTAAAAATGCACACACATCACCAAAATGGTTGGGAACTCTAAAAATAAGCAAAAATTTTTTTAAATTAACATTCATATAAATAATTTATAAGTTAAAAATCATCATGGAAATTATAGAATATTAAGTAATATACAACAAAAGTACTATCAATTAAAATTTGTGGGATGCAATTACAACATTACTTAGAGGGAAACTAGCCTCTAAGTGCATTTTTGGGAAATGACAAGAATGAAAAGTAATGAGCTAGTTGTTCAGTTCAAGTAGAAAAAAATAAATGCAAGAAATAATAGAAATGAATGCTAGTGAAAACAAACTGGGCACATGTTCTCAGGATCTCCTGAGGGCTATGTCATGGAAAAAAATAAACTATGAGCAAAAGCTAGTTGTTTGACAAAATAAAAATAGATCTCTAGTGAGACCGATCAAGAAGAAAGAAGCACAATTGAGATGAATAACAAAAAGAGGGATGTGGAAAACCTGATGCCAGTAAATTTGAAGACTTAGACAAAATTGGATAATTTCAATGAAAAATATCAACACTGTGGGGAAAATGGGGTTGGATCGCAGTGATCTAGTGGCAGACACTGCTTAGGGACACCTGCTTTTTCCCCAGTGAAAATGTGACCATTCTGGTGCTGCATTTGGCTTAAGAAACAGAAGGTCCAGAGAGCTGTATAATTTACAGTAAGGGCATGGATTGTTTATGTTACTCCTTTGAAGTAATGATAAAGGTGATAAAAAGTGAGTACGTTGTACAGAGAGTGTAACCTATAGATATAAACTGTGTTCAAGGTTCTGGAGGTCTGGAAGCTGGGCTGAAATGAGCTGAATCTACTCCTGCTGTGTGGCCGCCTGGCTTCCACCAGGTTCCTTATTCTTTAGCCAAGTAAGAGGATGCAGTAAGAGATGGGAAGGGCAGGCAGGGAGGGTGGCTCAGCTGTCTAAGTGTGGTCTCTTCCTGCCATCATAAATGTTGCAGCTACCAAAACTGAATCAAGAATAGAAAACCTGAATACAATACAGTGCTCATTAAAGAAACTGAATCTATAATCAAAGATCTCCCCTCAAAAAAGGCCCGAGGCCTAGGGGGTTTTTCAGATGAGTTTTATCAAACATTATATATTATATACAAGCTGTTTGAAAGAACAGGACAAAAGAGAAAACTATCCTACTCATTTTATAAAGTTAGTAAAGCCTTGATACTGACATTTAATATGGTCCATATTTTTAAAATATAGGCCCATCTCAAGTATATAAAATCAAAAATTCTAAATAAAATGGTAGTAATCAAATGCCTAAAAGCAAGGACTTTAAAAAGCACATCATGTTTCTGGAATCAGCTTCAAAATCATCTAGGATGGTATTATTTGGGATGTGGGATGTGGTTGGGGGCATACGTACAACAAGACTAATCGTGGGTTGAAAATAGCTGAAGCCAGCTGGGCACGGTGGCTCACGCCTGTAATCCCAAAACTTTGGGAGGCCGAGGCAGGTGGATCACCTGAGGTCAGGAGTTCGAGACCAGCCTGACCAACATGGAGAAACCCCGTCTCTACTAAAACTACAAAATTAATTAGCCAGGCATGGTGGCGCATGCCTGTAATCCCAGCTACTCAGGAGTCTGAGGCAGGAGAATTGCTTGAACTCAGGAGGCAGAGGTTGCAGTGAGCCGAGATCACGCCACTGCACTCCAGCCTGGGCAACAAGAGCGAAACTCCGTCTCAAAAGAAAATTGCTGAAGCTGGGTATTGGTAATATAGAGGTTTGCTTTGTACTGTTTTGTCTGCTTTTCAGTGTGTTTAAAATTTTCAACAATGGAAAGGTTTTTCCGTTTTGTTTTCCAATGCATTACGGCCAGTAATCAGGATTTGCACCAGGAAGGAGGAGAGAATTTACTTGTCTGAGGAAGATTTCTTTGTGAAACACTGTAGCATGTGCTACGTAAATTTCCTCTGTCTTCTCTTTGGCAAAAATATAAATTTCTTGGAATAATTTTATCTGAAGGGAATTTTGTCCTTTGGAGGGTTTGAAGAACAGGACCAGGGGACAGCTGACATAAGGGTTTATGTGTGTCTCTCTCTGCATTTGAGATCAGAGGTACCTGAAGAATACATGCAGTACAATAAAAGATTTGTAAACATATCAGAACCAGGGAGGACATATGTAAAATGGGGAGATTAAGATGGGGAGATACATACTGGTACTTTAGGGCAATTTTTATTATTATGAAAAGAGCCACTGACACCAGTCAAAAGAAAATGTTTCTGCCCAGGGGCTGGCCCCTCAGCCTTGTGCACGGCCCACTTCTCACACCACTGAGCTTTCGCTGGACCTTAACGTTTGTGAACATGATATAACTATGTTTCTCTACAAACAAACAATACCTGGAGAAGTCACGTTGTGTCTGGGTTTTTGGTTTTGTTTTGTTTTTTTCAGGACCGGATTCCATGGCTCTGTAACTTGCACGACATTTTACTAAGGTAAGAGACCACTGGGCCTTGGCATAAGCCACAGCCAGCAAGTAAAGAAAAGCCTCAGAAAAGACAGGAAAAGAAAAATGCACTCCTCAAATCACAGCTGACTGATGGTAAAGGATTCTAAAAACTGACTACACTTCTATCAAGTAACCACAACGATTTCAGCCAGCCACAGACAGCATGGAGTTTCATCGGGCTCTGGAGACACACCTTCTAGACAGCTCCACAGTTACTAGCTAGTAGTCCTGATCAGCCACTTGGTTTCCATAAGTCTGTTTCTTCATTAGTAAAATGGGAATTAATATAGTTCCTACCCACAGATTATTGTAAGAAGTAAGTGAGTTGGTGAGTGGGCAGTAGAACAGTACCTAATACATAGTAAGTGCTCAAAACACGTCCACTGGTGCCACTCCTGTTATTGCCTATCTGAGTCTTCAATTTTTCTTCCCTTTACTTCAAGCTTTGACTACCAGGAAGGCCTGAGGTCATTTGTGAGTGAACAGGTAATTAGCCGCCAGGATGACAGTCCATATTGCCCAGCTCTGCAGCATGGCCCTGAGCAAACAGGGTCCCCCCCACACCACCCATCTGTGGGTCTGACCCCAGTGGTATCCTGGTCGGGACATGGAGAAGGATAAGGAAAAGGCAGGGAGTGGGTTACGGATCTTCCTTTCTAAGGTGAACTCATATTTTATCCATCTAAAACCGTCTGGGCCATACGAAGTTAGAATATACTTAAATGAACAAAACTTCAGTTTGCTTTTTTCACACCCATTGACATGGCTGGCAGCCCTGTCTTTGCATGGGCTGAGTTTTGATTTAGGGGTTTACGGTTCAGAGTTTCAAGGTTTGAAAATTTTTGCCTACCTGGGTCTCTAACATAATGCACTCATGAGAGTCTATTTTTACAGTACTGTCATTTTATAGTCATAAAAAAGGAGTATGGCTTCATTTTTGTTTGCTAGCCATGTATTAGCTGCAAAAAAAAAAAAAAAAAAAAAAAAAAAAACGCAAGGGAGGCCCCTTCCTTCAGAACTTTCATTCTGAAGAGAACTTCATACTGAATCCCTAAGCCAGCCCCAAGTCAGAATTTATGCACCACCTCTTAACTCCAGAGTCCTGTCCTGACCCCAGGATGACTGCCTCCCACACTCAGCAGCCGCGTGGTCTCTGGCCGCACTGGTTTCCCCTTACTGGTGCTGTGTCACACTGCCTCTGTTTCTGGCTCAAGTTTTTCCCTTAGTGCGTCCCTAGAAACCTCTCATATTCTACTCGCCTTGCCCACAGAGAGGCTGATGCTCCCTTCTCTCCCGCTTTCTCCAGCTCTGCACCTAGCAATTCCCCCAGACACTGTGGAGTAGGAATAGGGAGAAGCCAGTTGTAGAATGCAGATCCCTGAACATCCTGCAGAGGACCTGAGCTTAGCTGTTTGCATAGCACAGGGGCGCGCTGGCAGCCCTGTCTCCACACGCTGAGACGGAGCAACGTCTGGCATCCATCAAAGCAGAACCAACACTTCCTGAGCACATCTGTATATCAGAGATCTCGAACAATGTTTTCCTTATGAAAGCTCTAAGTATGCTAGGTAGCCCCATTTAACAGATGACGAACTGACAATCAGAGAGGTAAATCCCTTCGCCCAGGATTGTTCACTACTAGCAGAAGATCTTTAACTCAGTTAGTACTGCCTGATGCTTAACCACCACTTTCTAATGCCTTCCACTGGCAGGAAGTAGGACTAGAGTCCTGCACCTAGAATTGACAGAGTTATTTTTAAATGTCTTCATTCATATTTTTAAATTAGCCTCCCTCTTTTTTTTTTTTTTCTTTTTTTAAACAGAGATGTAGCCTCGGGACAGCATGTGGTTCTAGCCTGTTCAGCCCTGAAGAAAATGTACAGAGACATATTAACACAAGGAAAAGATGGTGCAGCTCTGAAGTGCGAGGAGTCGGAAAAGGAAGCAAAGCGGGCTGAGATGCAGCTCCTGGTGGTCCATCTGAGTGGGTCGTTTGAGGTCATCTCTGGACGCTTACTCAAAAGAAAGGGACATTTTATGCCCCCTGAATTACTGCAGTCCCAGTTCGAGACTCTAGAGCCCCCAGCAGCTCCAGAAAACTTTATCCAAATAAGTGTGGACAAAAATGTTTCAGAGATAATTGCTAAAATTATGGAAACTCTAAAAATGAAGTGAGAATCATTTTGTATCAGTGGTCCACACAAAATTAAGCATAAATATTTGTGCCATCCCAAACCTCGTTCCAGCCACCTTGCCCATACTAGATTCTAAATTTTTCTAAAGGCAAACAAACCCCAATGTATCAAGACAGACTTGTTTGGGTGTAATTTTAGGGATTATGCTGGTTCATCGGGAAGCAGAAGGGGAGTTTTAAAAGTCAAGCTTAAATTGAAGTTTAAATTCATCAAATGATCAGAGGAAATTCTGTAATCGATGCTGGAAATTGTTACATTGTTTAGAACATTCTTGCTCATGCCCGTATGTGCACAAATAAATGAAACTTGGCTGTCCTTGACATTCCCTGGAAATTGGTGTTGGAAGTATAAACATGTACATCATCCACCCACCACCCAGCACACCACACACCTCCTGATCCTCTCTCCTGGAGCTGTGGTCAGAGTGGTGGCTTTTTTTGTTGTTTTTTTTTTGGAGATGGAGTCTCACTCTGTTGCCCAGGCTGGAGTGCAGTGGTGTGATCTCCGCTTACTTCTTAAGCTAAGGTCTCAAAAGGTGGTCATTGGAGAACAAGCAAACTTTGTTCAGTTCCTTAAATGGCGGAATACAAACATACTCACCAGCAGCAATACCAAGTTTCTTGCCTTTTGCCTGAAATTATGTCAACTCGAACTATCTCTGCTGGTCACCAGCTCTGCGCTGAGCGGTTGTGTGTTATGTATCTGTGTGTAATTTAAATGTAGAAACTTAAAATAACTGCTACTTAAAAAGTAGAGTTTGGGCCGGGCGCGGTGGCTCACACCTGTAATCCCAGCACTTTGGGAGGCTGAGGCAGGTGGATCACTTGAGGTCACTAGTTCAAGACCAGCCTGCCCAACACCCCGTCTCTAGTAAAAATAAAAGTAAAAAATTAGCTGGGTATGGTGGCAGGCACCGGTAATCCCAGTTACTCAGGAGGCTGAGGTAGGAAAATTGCTTGAACTCAGGAGGCAAAGGTTGCAGTGAGCCGAGATTATGCCACTGCACTCCAGCCTGGGTGACACAGTGAGATTCCATTTCAATTTTTAAAAAATTAGAGTTTGGTCAACACAATTTTTTTTTTCTTTTTTAGAGAGGAGGTCTTGCTCTGTCACCCAGGCTGGAGTGCAGTGGCATGATCATAGCCCACTGCATGTTTGAACTCCTGGGCTCAAGTGATCCTCCCACCTCAGCCTCCCAAGTAGCTAGGACTACAGGCATGCACAACCATGCCCAACTAATTAAAAAAAAAAAAAAAAATTTAAGAGGCCAGGCGTGGTGGCTCACACCTGTAATCCCAGCACTTTGGGAGGCTGAGACGGGCGGATCACAAGGTCAGGACATGGAGACCATCCTGGCTAACACGGTGAAACCCTGTCTCTACTAAAAATACAAAAAATTAGCCGGGCGTGGTGGCAGGTGCCTGTAGTCCCAGCTACTCAGGAGGCTGAGGCAGAAGAATGGCGTGAACCCAGGAGACGGAGCTTGCAGTGAGCCAAGACAGTGCCACTACACTCCAGCCTGGGTGATAGAAGGAGACTCCATCTCAAAAAAAAAAAAAAAAATTAAGATATAGTGTCTTGCTATGTTGCCCAGGCTGGTCTCAAACTCCTGGCCTCAAGTGATCCTCCTGCCTCAGCCTCCCATGTTGCTGGGATTTGAAACATAAGACACAGTGCCCAGCTCAACAAAATTTGATATAACAAAAAGCATCATTTTGGTGGAATAAAGATTGAAAACAGTTATTTTAGGGGAAAAAAAAAACATTGTTTTTCAAGTAGGGGAGCTGTCCTCATAGATCATGTGAGAAGGCCCTACTCCACCCTGTGAATTTGCAGAGTATCAGAACTGGAGACAGATCTCAGCAGTCAGACCGAAGTGTGTGGCAGCACTGCTGGGAATATACAAGGCATGTGATTTCAGATGTCAGTGATTTCAGGTGTGGCTTTAAATAATTCGACACATGTGATCAGAAGGGATCCCCCTTATATTTCTCTGTTGCTCTGCCTGTCTGTGACATGGGGAGTGTCTGTTTCATATGAGTGTCTTCATCCCTCTCCAGCACTTGACAAGCTTCCTTTTCAACAGACAGCAGCCGGAGGCTCAGACTCCTGGCAGACCCGTGGTCTCCCCACAATTTAATCACTTTATCTAGTTCTTGTTTCTGTTTTTACTTTCCTTCTATGTAAGGTAAGTGTCCATTTTCCATTGAAAGTAGTGACATTACAGTTTTTGAAAAAGAAACATATTTATATAAATTGGGTCATTTCAAGATGAATAAAAAGCACACGATCCATCACAAAGTTGCCAATGTGGAACTCGAGCAAATGAAGAGAGACTTGCTGACCCACCCAATGTAGCCCTCATTCTACAAAGAGGAACCAAAGGTCTCTAAAGACCTCCGTGAGCCTAGGCTCGTGTCCACCTGCTTGCCGTCCTGTGTAAAATCATCAGCAATGGACACTAGGCAGGTGAAGAAAAAGCACTAGAGCCGCTATGGCCAAGACATGAAATGAAACTTTCCAAAGGGCAGTGATGCGTCACTAGGACAGCAGCAGCAGGGCTGGGGGATGCGGAGCAGGAGGTGAGAAGTGCCGGTGCCCTCCTGGCATGCAGCTTACCCAGGCACCAGCTGTGCAGGCCAAAATCTGACTAACATGGGCCAGGTTTGAGCCTTTCCCCGTACTGTGCTCCAGAAAGATGCTTTATCCTTCGGTCCCAACCAGGGCCACAGGACCTTACCCTGGGGCTCCCACCCCTGGCTGCTCACCAGGACCTTACCCTGGGGCTCCCACCCCTGGCTGCTCACCAGAGTCAGCTGCGGAGCTTTCAGAGGTGAGACCAGGGCCCCTTATGACAGATGCTGCTTCAGTGGGCTTGGAGGAAGCAGAAACAGGTCTGTGCTTTTCAGTTCCTCAGGTGACTCTAACAGGCACCCTGTGGCCACCTGTGGGCCCACTGGTTCGCTCTGGCCAGAGATTGGGTTTCAGAACCAATTTACCTGTTTCTATTCACCAGGGCATGTCATATTTGACTCAGGAACTACAGCTGGGTGCAGTGACTTGTGCCTGTAATCCCAGTGACCCCAGAGGCCAAGTGAGAGGATCACTTGAGCCCAGGAGTTTGAGGCCGGGTCAGGCAACATAGAGGACCCCATCTGTGAAAAAAATAAATTAGCCAGGCATGATGGCATGCACATGTAGTCCCAGCTACTCAGGGGGCACTGAGGTGGGAGGAATGCTTAAGCCAAGAAGTTTTGCATCACTGTACTCCTGCCTGGGCAATGGAGAGACCCCATCAAGAAAGAAAAGAAAAGAAGAGGGGAGGGAAGGGGAGGAGAAGAGAGGGGAGGAGAGGGCAGGGGGAAGCAGGGAAGGGAGAGGGAGGGAGGGAGGGAGGGAGGGAGGGAGGGAGGAAGGAAGGAAGGAAGGAAGGAAGGAAGGAAGGAAGGAAGGAAGGAAGGAAGGAAGGAAGGAAAGGAAGGAAGGAAGGAAGGAAATAAATTACATGCCAGTGGAAAAAAAGACAGTTTTGGTGGATGGCCCTTGCCTAAGAAAATATGGAGCCCTTGATTTTCCTCTTTGCCAAGCTATTTGGAGTCGCTTCTGGCTGGCTTTGGTTTACATCAACCCTCATATTTGGGGGCCAGGCACTAGAAGTTGTCCAATGAACACATCCAGCTGGATAAGTCCCCCTGCCATGTGGAGGGAGAAATCAACCAATCCATTGTGCTTAGTAGTGAGTCCAGACTGTATGTGACAGGCACCGTGGAGGGTTTGAGGCTTGTGACACAAAGCCCTGGCTGTCAGGTGGCTCCAGTTGGGGTGAAAGATAAGGCATCGTGTACTCTCTGGCACCAACTAAACTCCCGAGACAGAAAGGAAGCAACGAGGGCCTTGACCATGGGGACTTAGACATGCTGAAAAGCATCCGTTCTGGCTGGATCATGCCCCTGTCCTAGCTCCCTCCCCATCATGAATGCCAAAGCACATTCCTTGACAAAAGACTTAAGCCAGACCCCAACAGCTGCTCCACAGCTGAACTACCCTTTGGCCTCCCCTCCATCATGGTGCCAGGAAACAGAGGAAAAACTGAGGAAGGCAGTGGTTCTCAACCTCCACTGCCTGTTAGAGTCACCTGAGGAACTGAAAAGACCTGTTTCTGCTTCCTCCAAACCCACTGAAGCAGCATCTGTCATGAGGGGCCCCGGTCTCACCTCTGAAAGCTCCACAGCGGACCTGATGAGCAGCCAGGGGTGGGAGCCCCAGGGTGAGGTCTGACAACCAGGACCCCGTTTGGATCCCCTGCTCATGCTGAGCCCACTTAGATGGCAGCAGCAGGGAGAATCTTAATGCAGGTGAAGTTTAGGACTGGATTAGTTCTCGCCAAAGACCCGCTGGACAACTCACGAAAGGTCAGGGATGAAGTGCAGTCTCTAAAGTGGCGCTTTGGGTTGGTGATAGGCTGGGGAGCACCTAACCCTCAACCGTGTAAAGCGGCTGATTGATTTGGCAGGGATCACAGGTAGCAGGTAGAAAGGACCAAAGAGATGGGTGGAGAATTCCTTTTCTGGCTAAGGACACTGATCTATAGGGGAAGTTGGGTTGGCTAAGAGGGTCTGGCTGCAGTGAAAGGATAATCTATTGATTGACATTTTAATACTGCCCTGGCGTTCCCCTCTCAAGTATTTCTCTTGGTGTAACAGCAGGGAATCGTCAATGAGGCCTTCAGATGAAGTGAACAGAGAGATAAGGGAAAAGGTGTCCAGAGTAGAAGAATCCATAGAGACAGATGGATGGGTTGCCTGGGATGGGGAAGGCAGGACTTGGGACTGGCTGCTAACAGGTACACAGTTTCTTCTGGGGGTGATGGACATGTCCCGGAGTTACACGGTACTGATGTTTGCACAGCATAGTGAAATAGGCTACATCCACTGATGTGCGCTTTCAAATGAATTTTATGGTATATAAATTTTTATCTGCCATTTTTTGATACTGGCATTTTTTTATCTCAATAAAAAAATCAATGCAGTGAATGCACCACTGTGGAGGGCCGCAACCCCAGCACAGGAACCTCCCCATCATCCCATTTGGAGAAAGTCTATGAGCGGAAGGGTAGGCCTGCGTCCAGCTCCCACGCACCTTACACCTAAGAATGAGTCCTGGGTTTAAAGAGTTTTCTTTTCTCCTTTTTTGAAACAGAGTCTCACTCTGTTGCCCAGGCTGGAGTACAGTGGCCCAATCTCAGCTCACTGCATCTCCGCCTCCCGGGTTCAAGTGATTCTCCTGCCTCAGCCTCCCGAGTAGCTGGTACATACCACCA